AGGGGGAAGAAAAGGGGGAAAAGGGGGAAAAAGGGGGAAAAGGGGGAAAAGGGGGAAAAAGGGGGGAAAAAGGGGGGAAAAGGGGGGAAAAGGGGGGAAAAGGGGGGAAAAGGGGGGAAAAGGGGGAAAAAGGGGGAAAAAGGGGGAAAAGGGGGGAAAAGAAGGGGGAAAAGAAGGGGGAAAAGAAGGGGGAAAAAGGGGAAGGGGGAAGGGGAAGGGGAAGGGGAAGGGGAAGGGGAAGGGGAAGAGAAGAGAAGAGAAAAGAAGAGAAAAGAAGAGAAAGTAGAGGCCAACCATGAGCACTCGGAAAGGGGCGAGAGGACAGAGTGAAAGCAAGAAGGCAAGAGAGCAAGAAAGAGAGAGAGCAGAGGGGGCAAGCAGCCCCTTTTATAGTGAGTCAGGCATACCTAGCCCAGGTAACTGTGGGACGGAGTTAACAAATATGATAGTTATAGGCACACAACAAGAGTGTATGAAGATTTATGAGTGTATGTACATGAGTGTATGTGTGCTTATACATATTTGCCTATGTAAAAATTTTCCCTTTTGCTAGTGTGACTCTCTTCTTCTAGTTCAATAAAAGTTTTATTGCTCCAAGCCTCCTGCTCTCCTGGCCATTAAGGGTTCCAAGCAAGAGAAAAAGAAGCCTCAAGAGCTAATCCTTTACTTAATCCCCTGCATAAGTGTGTTAATTCCCCAAAGACCTGCAGCTTCTGGCATCAGAGTAACTTAGTAAGAGTTAAGTTTTCTAGCCCTTAATAAGCACAGAAAATTAAAGTAAGACTTAAGTGTATAATCAAGCACAGAAATTTAAAAAGTAAGCAAGAGTTAAGTTTCCTGTGCTAATCAAGTACAGACATTTATAAAGTAAATAATAGAGAGACAAAGAGTTAAGTTTCCTCAGCACTTAATGAAGCATAGAGCAATAAATAGGAAAGTTCTGAGCAGAGAACAGTAAGATAGGACTAAGTAGTAAAGTAGACCACAGAGAGTGAAAGAAAAAAGAAGCCAGCGGTTATCAACCAGAGAATAAGCAAGAAAGTGTTAAGTCTCCAGAAGCTATCAACTTCAGCATCCAGCATAGTTAGAAAGTCACAAGGCCAGAGGTCATCAATGTTTTGATCTGCATCCATCCAACATCTGTGCCCAGTTTAGCTCCTTCCCCTAATGCCCACAAGGGGCACCCAGCAGCAAGTTACATTTTATATACTTTCTCTTCTCACACATTTCTGTTTATTTTAAATAATATCCCTGCTCAATAAGAAGCTGTAAAACTAAGACCTTCATTCAGTTGCTGGGCTTAGGTATATGGAAAACAGCTGGACTTTACCCTGTGAATTTACAGATCATGGAAAAAGGTTCAGAGAACTTTGAATAGTGTTATTTCTTTCCGCAACTTTCTAGGACCTCATAATGTGAAGGAACTTACCCCATGAACTCAAGCACCTCCACGGGCATGCAGCTTACTGGATGAATTGAATACAATGGTAGTGTTTTGATAACAACAGAAACTGTAGTAAGAAATCAAGAGAGGAAAAATTTTCTTAATGAATTTTGATTATGATGAATTTTGATTATTTTTCTTAATGATTAAGAAAATTTTGGAATTATATACTCAATGACTATTCCTAATCTAAATGTTTTATATCACAGGTCCACAGATGTCACCTTAACTCTGAAAGATCCCCATTATCCCGACCATGACCTTGGAATCATTTTGCTGTCAGTCACCCTTACGCCTAAGGAAGGTGAACCCAGGGATGTGGTAAGTCTCCCTGATCCCTGGGCACACTAAAAGTTCTTTTTGGTCCTACTTGCTCATGTGCTCAGAGTCCCCTTAGGATACAGAAGTAACAATAAAGAACAGATGCACAGGAAATTCTAACCTGTTCTTGGTTTCTGTGAGTATCCTGTATATCACTCATCCATGCTTATTGTGTCTTCATCTCAAATTCCATGACCCACGTTCCAGATCAGAACCTCTTGTTGTAAATAAATAGATTTTTACCCCTTTATAATTTTAGTAATCAATTTCAGGCATGTTATATTGTAGTCAAATATTAGTATTCTTTCAGGGAATACACTGATTAGTGAATTGAATATTTGGAATTTCACATGGAGATATCTAAGACTATTTCGACTGTATTGCCAAATAGGTCATGACAAGGAGAATAAGGTGAAATTATAACAGAGTTTCTGCTCTCTGGTAGTTGTTTACTGGATAATTTGGTCTCTTCATGTTCTCAATGGTTTTCCATAGTGATTATTTCCATATCTCTGCACTAGCTATTTCTACTTCCTTGTACACCATGCTACTATGAGAAATGAACAAGGGTTGCAAAGGAAGCTGTAACTTCCACACTATTGAAGGAACCTGAACAAGTATCAGATGAGATCCCTATCAGTCAGCGTGTCAGATACTTTCTGCCACAATTTGCCAGAGATGGTTTGTTAGGCTCAATATTCATTTATACACCTGGAAAATACTATAGCTTGGACACCTTTTTGTATGAAATAAAATTATTAGAGGTTACCCCAAATACTCTTTCTATAGCACTTATATTCCCGTTTTAAAATAATGTATCATTCAAGTTGATATATATTATCTATTAAAAGATATCATTGACATTTTAATCAAGATTATAGGTAAAAATAGTGAATCTCCAAAACTTCAAAACTGAAGTTTTTTTCTAAACTCACCAAAAAAAAAAAATTATCAATTTAAGGAGAATTTCCTTCAATCCTTAAAAATTAAACAATTGTTATATAAGTTCATGTATGTTACTTAAAAACCTTATTTATAGGAAATCTTTCTACGTAGTACCTGCTGTGAGAACACAGTGTGGCTGGGTGTACATAGCACCCACTGTAGGTAGGGTGTGGTGTGGTGCAGATAAGTACACATGTGCATGTGGAGAGGCACCTGAGGAAACGCTTGTTCAAAGAATCCTATCACTTACAGAGTAAGTCATCAGTTAGAAGTCACCAGTAGCACCCACCAGGAAGTAAATTCTAGATTTCCAGTCCATAATTAGGAGTACATTTCAAATTTTCATTTTGTACTTTATTTAAATAATTGAGGTGCTCACAAGAAGCCCTATGGTAAGGCAACTCCTGTGCTGATATTTAGGACACATTAGAAATTGTGTCCAGTGATTCACTGAGAGAAACAGAAGATGACAACTAGTTTAGTGTTATGAAATAAAGACAAATTTATGAGACAACAAAACCAGGAAATAAAATAAGAACCAAAAGGAAGAAAGCTCAGGA